AGGAGGGCCTGACGTGCTCTGGTCCATGGGGTCACGAAGAGTCGGACACGACTAAACGACTAAACACACAACTAATCATTCCTTCCCTGCCTCTGAATTCAAAGAAAGCCCCACCTTTCTGCTGTAGGGCGTTCCTCCTCTTTGTAGTCTCTTGAAAATCAATGAATCTGTTGAAGTCTGTTGCTGAAGCAGCCATATTTTGTCAGTTGGCTATTTGATCTGTTCATCTGTAAGTTTTTTAAAAAAATGTTTTGGTTTGTTCTCCTACTAATGTCTCAGAGGGACTTATTGAGACTGTAAATACCAGTTGATGAGAAAAGGGGGTTGGACAAAACTGGGGAACTTGAAGCTATTATACTCTGTGCATCCCTGCTCTTCTACTACACAGCTAGTGGAATTTAACCAAAATTCCAAACTCCGCAAAATACGTAGATAGGGTGGCAAACATTATTTTCCCTTATTACTAAGTTGCTTTCTTCAAGGGAGTTGTAGTCCAAGAACATCTGGGGACCCCAGTTTGAGAACCATGGGTCTAAAGAGATCAGAGATTACAACTCTCAAGAATTCTGGTGAACTATTTTAGTTTTAGCTTTACATATTTCCTAATCTCCTCAGAGCAGCAAAGAACAGCTATAGGTCAATATCCTTTGATACAAGGGTCCTCAGCCTCCAGGCCGTGGGCTGGTACCGGGCTGTGGCCTTGGAAGAATCAGGCTGCTGAGATAGATTTTTTGAGGGCCGAAGGAACATGCACGCACATGCACTCCCACCCACATGCATGTCCACACACACTCCTCCACACACGCACACACAACCCTGCACGCAGGGATGCCCACCGGCCTCCCACATGCACCCCCTGCATCCCCGCACAGATGCCTACATGCACGCACGCACCTCTGCACCCATGCACAGATGCCCGCACGCACACATAGGCACACGCCACCCCATCCCCCAGTTGGGAGAACGGTCTTCAACTAAACCGATCCCTGGTGTCCGTTGGGACCCACTGCTTTGATACAACCAACAGTGAAATCTTATCTTGCAGCCAAATAAATGCAAGATCCTCATTTTTTTTATTTTCAAAGAACGTCTTATTTTTCTGCCCAGGACACTTCACTACGGTAATGCTGTACAGACCCAACCGGTAATAACCCTCGCAGAATGTAACACAACTTACTTCTGAGTAGACATACATAAGATTGCAAGGACTGCACAGCTTTGCTGTGAAGGTCAGATTTCATTCTTAAGGTGCAAAGAAATAGGATACTTGTCTACACAAAAAGTTACACACTCAAGTGTGAACACAGAATGGAAACAGTCACCATCACGGGCTTTTAAGAGACAGAAATAAAATACTGAAAACTGAAATATTTCATTTCCATTCTTTGAAACAATGAATAAAAACCAAAATTAAAACCGGGTTGCAAAAGCCTATGACACGTAGCAACTCATTCACTGGAAATCCTCTGAAACACTATAGGGAATTGCAACCTAATACAGTATTGTCAGAAGACCAGAAGTCGTAAGATCGAATCTACGCAACAGAGTGAGCTCCCGTCACTTTGTCCCAGCTCCTCACCAACCTAGTAGTTCAAAAGCATGTAAATGCGAGAAGATAAATAGGTGCCACCTTGGTGGGAAGGTAAAACGGCGCTCCCTAGTCACGCTGGCCACATGACAACGGAAACTGTCTTCGGACGGGCGCTGGCTCTATGGCTTGAAAAGCAGGATGAGCGCCGCCCCCTAGAGTTGGACACGACTGGACAAAAATTGTCAAGGGGAACCTTTACCTTTACCCTTTTTACAGTATTGTCATTTTAAATATATTATATGGGTTAAGCAGAGACCCTCACTTCCTCATAAAGAAGAACACGGGAATTCTTAAAAGGAAGAGGACTGAAATAGTCCTTTAGATACCCATGTGGGCTTGTATGTGACCAGCATGGTTTGATTTCCCCTAATTCCTGTTTTCTTTCACTTTATTCATGGCCGTTTGTTGCAAAGTTCAGGCAAGCTTTAAGAGTATCCTGCTGAGCAAGACAAGAAAGCAGAGGCTGCCTTGGGATGGGGCATTTTGCTCCTGGGGGAATAAAGGTCTCTTATGAATCCTGGCCAAAATACTTGCAAGAATACCATTTCACCAGAACCTGAAAGAAACCTAGTGTTTGTTTTGGCAATGGCCTTAAAAAAAGAGACACACACAAACAACTTATACTTATCGTTAGTCAAATATCCAGGAAAACATGCTGCTCAGGCGAAATGGCCATTTTCCTACCCAAAAAAGGTCAGTCTCTTCCAGGCATGGGCCACTTCACAGAAACACTGTGCTTTATCCGGTCTCTTGGTATAAATGATGATCTAGCTTGTTTTGCTTACGGGTTCTCTGAAGCCCAGACATTCTGGATTTTAAGTGGCCAAGGAGAACATTTCCCATGTTGACCCATATAGGAAGTTAAATGAACAATGTCCAGAAGACACCAATGACCATTTTAGGATAAAGGCAACAACTTAAGGCTAAAACTGTATTACGCGGAAGATCTGCAATCAAGTCTGTTGACATCGTTTTTGCTAAGACATGCCGAGGGATGCAAGACTTTGAGCAGGTGCTACAGAGCTCGGGAAGGGAAGGTTAATTCCTTTCCCTGATGCTGATCCGGTAACATACGACACAAATGGCTGAAGTTGCATGAGCGAGCAAAATTATCCTATTGGCAAAATCCTGTTGGCATAACTCTGAATGGCAGAACCAGAATCAGACACTGGAAGCGTTTAATTTAAAGTAACTGGAAGTTTCCAATCCACCTCCATTTTACATTCTGAGGCTCTCCTGGGCTCTCTTTTGCCGATCACTGTCAGTGGTCCTGATCCAGACAGCAGGACTTGATCTGAATTAGTTACGCGATGCAAAGTTATGCAACAGGATGTTGCCCTATATTTTGTCTCCATAACGCCTAACTACCGAGTCGGGGACTATTTGCATTAAGGAAAAAAAAAGATGTGGGATGGAATTCAACTGTTGCCTAGCATCCTGGTTCTGATTCAGATCTCTCTCCTGCTGCTGGCTTATCCCAGGGACAAGAAAACAGAAATTATATTCTGAACTTGGTCTAGACTTCTAAAAGTTCAACACGACGACTCCACTGAAAATTAATTATGGATCCTGAAACTTCGATCTCTAGCCAGGATAGATTTTCTGTTCCCTTGTCCCACCTACTGCCACCCCCTGCCACTCTGCAAAGTAGAGTCTGATGAAGACTATCGCAAGACTCAAAAGGGCAGCTGTTTTTGATACAGTAGGGTCCCCATATCTACTGGGGATTTGTTCCAAGCCCCCCCCCTTTATATAATGGTTAAAGGAAAAGAACCGATACTGAAAACTGTGGATAATAATGAACATACACATATACATACACAGCATGGTTAAAGGAAAAGAACCAGGAAAAATAATAATAACTATCAAAAACATTACTAGAACTTGGCACTATAGGGGGCCAGAGGCCATCCTATGTATTATTCACTAACAAGTATTCATAGCAGTCTCTGGCTCCCTCTAGCGGCCAATTCTGTTAATACATATGAAAATAGTTTTTCTTCTGGATTTTTAATTTTAATAGTTTTAATTGTTTTTAGACTGTGCATAGGTGAATCCTGTGGATAAGGGGTTCCTACTGTATTTTAGAAGTCTAATAAGGGTTACAAGAAACACGTGGCTTTCCCCCCCTTTTTCTTTTTGTTCTACTGATTTAAGTATTTTACCTGTTTCTGTCCACTGTGATGAGGTGGGATGGAAGCTCTGAACCTCCTGATGTTTTACGACTCCTATTCCCACAGTCTCTTACCCTTGGGATATATAGTGGCAAGAAGAGAAGGGAGGAAAGGAGTCGCCGGCCAAAACACTTGGTGGCCAAGTTGTTTCCTACCTCTGCCTTACAGCACCACCCAGTTCCTAGACACAGCATTTAGATACCCAATAGCTTAATGCCAGAAGACATATCATCACAACAGAATGACTAATTTGAAACTGAAGACATAAATAATGCTTTTAGACTCTACAACATAGAGAAATCAGTCCTAGGAAGCATTATTTCTATGGTCTCTTGTTAGCAAACCAGAAATCCAAGCTACCGTTTCTTTATTGTTTCAATAAAATTAGTACCTCCTGCTTTCTGTAATGCTTTGCCATGAAGCCATGCAACAAGGCCTCTCAGCCAGACCAGCTTTTTTTTTTAAAAAAATTTAATGCTGGATGCATGTTTTCAACTTAAAAAGATCTTTTTGTCAATTTCAATGCACAGGAAAAACAAACAAAAAGAGTTTGTGGTCAGAAAATTAAGACAGAATCCAAACAAAAGTTACTTCCCATTGTTTCCATGTTCCGCTCTTGCATTTAAATCAATGGGGCTTAAACATACTGAGAGTGTGACCACATTTTTTCAACGACTGGTCCTGATGTTTTCATATATCAGCTAATTGTTATCTGAACTCGCCCAGAAATGTCTTCTTTGATTGGCACTCCAAGACTGTCAGACTTCTCTCAACCCTTCAATTGATGGTCTCTTAATCGACAGTCTTAAGGACAAGAGAGGGGACCTCCTGTACGCAAATGTTATGCTCCTGATTGCCAAGCAGCAATGATGACTCTTCCCTTTCCATTGCCCTGCATGTCCTGTTTAACAGGCAACAACATGACTTCCTAGACTTACTTTTGTGTACAGAATAAATCAGGACTGAATTAGTATTGAATGCACTATAAACACCTTAGTGCAGCCATTCTGAGCAGGGGCTGTATGGCCCCCTCAGGGCCTTGGCACATTGGAAGGGGGCCACTGACTGGAAACAGTTCTTCACCCACCACCTTATAAAGGTTTCTTATGCAACTTATACAACCCTATCCAGCCTACATTTCTTTCATATTGTGTGTAGGGCCATGGCCAAAAAACCCCCAAAAACACTGAGAATGGCTGCTTAGTGTATTTAGTAATCAAATCAAAGGGACGTACTTGAGAACACCAAGTGGATCACCATCATCTTCTTCTTCCTCCTCCTCCTCTGATTCTTTTTCTTCTGCTGCTGCTTCTTCTTCTCCCACTGTAACATCTTCACATGAAAAGGGTCCTATTACGAATTCATCGTCCTTATCTTCTTCCTCATCAGGAAGGTTTTTACTTTTGACATCAGTGACACAGGTGGACCTGGTGCCTGTAAAATCATGCGTAGAGAATGGGCATTCAAAGTGGTTATGATTTCCCTACACCTTTTAACTCTAGTTTCTGAATACAGCATACAGAGCTGGGAATTATATCTCCAAATGTGTAAGACTGGGAAATCAGTGGGCCTCTTAGCTCGGCTGCTTCCAGGAAGAGAACTGCTCCTGCTCTGAACCACAAGGCACGGGGGCACCTCTTCTTTCTTTTCCCCTTAACGGATTTTTCCCTAGCAAGAAAAAAAGGTGGGTACAGGAAGAAAAAGAAAAAAAACATTGGGAAAACTTGGGACAGCTGAACATTGACAGCAGCTGCATCTGGCAACTTCCCAAAAATTTCTACGGAAGAGTTCGATCCCCCCACTGGGCCTCCTTGACAGGGGCTGGACTGGATGATCCCATTGGGTCCCCTTCCAGCTCTGCAGTTCTAAGATTTATTATTTCAAGAGATCACGACAGCAGAGATCTGGTCTTTAAAAACAGTGGAAGGAAGGCAATTCATTTTGCAAAATCTCTCCAAGGTATTCATAGCCACTGCACTGAACACATTTTGGGGATTACCTAGGAATTCCAGCAATTCAGGGCTTGTTGCTAGGCCAGGTTCCTTTGAGATGGATCTCATGATCTTATTGAAGGCAGCTCTTCGTTCCCGAATTTCGGATTCCGACACAAACATCACTTTCCTCGGCAGTGGCGGCAGAGCGGTTTGAGGGTAACGTGTGACCAGTTTCTGATAAAACTCTTCAATTTCACTGTACGTCTTTGAGACCTACACCAACACGGACAGAACACGGTTATTTTATTCAGCAGCCGATACAGTGAAAAGCACAACACAGCAGACTGTTCTCCGTGATTTAAGGTAAATAAAGTAAACAGGCCAATATCTTGTTGCATTATACAGCTGCAGATGGGCGATGGCGTAAATACCCCTTATACTCTGGCAAACTCTTCCCTGCATACTCCGTCTTCTGCCCCTCCCAAAGCATCTGATGGCAATGGATATTCTCAGAAATAAGGGATCAGTCCAAGATGCAAATGAATGGAAGTGGGAGACAGGAAGAGAAACAGCCAGGTGCAATTACAAACTAGAGACAAAGAAGGAGAAGTAGCATGGCGTTACATCCAGACACAGACCCTTTTGGACCACCATGTCAGCATAACCAATGGCCGCAACAGCAGGTGGATTCTGGGAGTTGTAGTCCACAAAGGAACTTTTCTCACCTATCTGCAGAACTGGGGTACTTGTATCAGGTGGAGAAAAGCAAAGGGCCATCCTCTAAAAGGAAGCTGCGGGCTGGAACGCATGAAAAGGATTGCCTCGTGACCACAACAAATACACGGAAGAAGGGGCTCGACTCCAGAGCCCTGAGGTTCTGAGTCTGAGACTCCACTGACTGGGTGTGTTGCTCTTATTGCTGATAACTGGTAGTAGGTGATGGGAAGAAGAGGAAGAAAAGCACACCTCGTCTAGGGAGGGAACCTGGGCCTCACTGGTGAATGGAAAATCCTGACCACCACAGGGAGAGTCACCTTAGGCTAACCTATTCATGAGGTTGCTGAAAGAATAAAGTGGCATAAACAGATGTATATACATAAATATCCCTGTTCTTCTTGGAGGAGGACGGGACTCAAGTCTGAAAAATTAGATAAACATAAACCTGGGTTCAGGTTTCGTATCAACTAGAGATATATTGGATGAACCTGGATAAAAGCTGTTTATGAAATTGCCCCAAGAGAACATTGCTTCTGGAGATCACCCACCATTGCTTGATTGCCATCTGCTAGCTGTGTCAAAAAAAATGTCAGAGCCGAATTCTATGACTCAAAGCAGATGCATGCATGCCTGCATAAAGGGAGTGGGTGATTTTCTCGTGGAAGGGCTCTGGAAAGCTTTAAATTTCCTGTGTGTGTATGCATACACACATACACAGAAGAATGCTGAAAGTTTACTGCAAATTCTCAGACAATCACTCTTTTGGGTAGAGATGGCCTGACATTTCTTTTTGCAATTATTTAGGGTCACATAGGAAGAGGTACAGTAAAGCTTGAAATCCACAGCAAACACAGAGGATGTCTCAGAATCGCCGTCAATCAGAAACAACTTGTAAACAAGAGCAGTCAAAGATATGGGGACCCTGACATCCGTTCAGCACACAGCATGCACTAGATAGCAACACTACTTGCGACAGGGTGTGTGTATGTGTGTGTCTCCATGAGAGCAAACAAAAGCAGGGGGTTTGCATGGGAGCAAGACAGGAAACAAAATGGGTCCAAGAGTGAGGACCTAGGAAGTAATATGTTTTAAAAGGTGGCCAAATAGTTGGGTAGAAGCAAAGAGAAAGCTATGCCAGTCGAAGGCTCTCTTTTGCTCAGGTTTGTAGTTCACCAAAATGAGCTTTCTTCCCTGTTTGCAGAATAAGGGCAAACATAAGGAGGAATTCAAGGGCTTAGCTCTCATTCAAGTAGATCCAGCTGGTTGAGGTATCACATAAAGTTTCTGCTGCTGCTGCTGCTATTAACTGCTATCAAGTCATCCTTGGCTGACGATGACTCCATGAAAGGCTACTAGCTGGTAGCTGCTGCCACAAGGCTGCAAAATCTTTGGCTCCCCCCACCTCCTCCATGTTTTCAATGACAACACCCACAATCGCCGTCTGAGAACGGAAGCTCCAAACACCCGAGAGGCTAAAAGTTCCCTCGTCCTGTGCTTGAGGAACCCAGCACTGCCTACAAAAGATTCTCTGTATAAAAAGTACTCAAAGACCAAACGACCCAAGGTTTTCAGGCATGTTCTTGGGTGAATGGATGACGAAACAGCAATATTCTGAACAAGCAAGGGCAGGGAGACAAAGCAAAATTTTAAACTTTTCCATAGGATGTCATATTGCATTTTGTTGTTGTTGTTTAGTCGTTGTGTCCGACTCTTCATGACCCCATGGACCAGAGCACGCCAGGCCCTCCTGTCTTCCACTGCCTCCCAGAGTTGGGTCAAATTCATGTTGGTTGCTTTGCAGACACTGTCCAACCATCTTGTCCTCTGTCGTCCCCTACTCTTCTGGCCCTCACACTTTCCCAACATCAGGGTCTTTTCCAGGGAGTTTTCTCTTCTCATGAGATGGCCAAAGTACAGTGGTGCCTCACTTAACGAGCGCCCCGGTTAACGACGAAATCGCATAGTGATTTGTTTTTTGCGATCGCATTGCGATGTTTTAAAAGGGAAAATCGCTTTGCGATGATCGGTAAGCTGTTTCACTTGCCGATTTTCGCATAGCGATATTTTCCCAACAGCTGATTGGCAGTTCCAAAATGGCTGCTGGGTAGAAAACATGGCCGCCCACTGTGTTTTGGGGAGGATTCCTCACATACCGGGCAGCGAAAATGGCCGCCATATGGAGGATTTTCGCTTAAAGGTAAGTTTTTTGCCCATAGGAACACATTGAAGGGGTTTCAATGCATTCCTTTGGGCTTTTAAAAATCGCTCAGCGATGTTTTCGGTTAGCGATGATTTTTGCTGCACCGATTAACATTGCTAAGCGAGGCACCACTGTATTAGAGCCTCAGCTTCAGGATCTGTCCTTCCAGTGAACACTCAGGGTTGATTTCCTTCAGAACGGATAGATTTGTTCTCCTTGCAGTCCAGGGGACTCTCAAGAGTCTCCTCTAGCACCACAATTCAAAAGCATCAATTCTTCGGCAGTCGGCCTTCTTTATGGTCCAGCTCTTGCTTCCATACATCGCTACTGGAAAAATCATAGCTTTGACTATGCAGACTTTTGTCAGCAAGGCAATGTCTCTGCTGTCTAGGTTTGTCACCGTTTTCCTCCCAAGAAGCAGGTGTCTTTTAATTTCATGGCTTTTTGTTGCATTTTAGGGTATACCTAAATTAGTATACCTGCAACCACAAGTCTTGTTTCCCACTGTTTTATACCCACTTTGCACGTAACCTTTTTACAAACGTAGTGAACCAAAATGTCCTACAATGTTGGAGTTAAGGTGACCTTTTTTACAAACGTAGTGAACCAAAATGTCCTACAATGTTATTAGATGCAATCAGATCACTTTGGAGTTAAGGTGACCCTCATGAATGAATGACCTTTCAAAATGTCATTAACAACCTTCCCTTTTCTTAAAGAATAAACTTGCATTACATCTGGAAACCCAACTATTTCAGACAGGAATCTACCCTGCAGGCAAGAGTGTTGGTCACAATCGTAGTGAACCAAAATGTCCTACAATGTTATTAGATGCAATCAGATCACTTTGGAGTTAAGGTGACCCTCATGAATGAATGACCTTTCAAAATGTCATTAACAACCTTCCCTTTTCTTAAAGAATAAACTTGCATTACATCTGGAAACCCAACTATTTCAGACAGGAATCTACCCTGCAGGCAAGAGTGTTGGTCACAATATTGCTCTTATGAGAATTTCAATCATTCTGCCATTTAATGTCATACATAGGGAAAGAGGCCGGGAGGAAAATTATTTTAAAGAGGAAGGATTTTGAAGAACACTTTATAGCTTAACTTCAGAATTCTTGTGTTTATCGTATTTATAAGATGGTCAAGAGTGGGTACACATCTCTCCCCCCCACTCAATAGTTCAAATCCTGGTAAGCAGTTACACAAAAAGCATTCCTTTGGGAAGCATATTACTGTTAAGAAATCTCTGTAGACATTACCTATTGCCCACCGAGTCACGCAACTCTGCCTGTGACAGATAATTCTCTAGATACAGTGGTGCCTCGCTTAACGGGCGCTCCGTTTGACGATGAAATCGCTAGACGTCGATGTTTTTGCAATCGCAAAAGTGATTGCAAAATGATGTTTCCTATGGGGGAATTTCGCTTTGCGATGATCGGTTCCCTGCTTCGCAACCGATCATCACAAAGCGATGATTTTCGGCCAGCTGATTGGCAGTTTCAAAATGGGTAAATAAAATGGCCGCCCGCTCTTTTCTGGCACGGATTCCTCGCTGCACAGGCAGCGAAAATGGCCGCGCTATGGAGGATCTTTACTGGACAGTGAGTTTCAAGCCCCTAGGAACACATTAATCGGGTTTTAATGTGTTTCTATGGGCTTTTTAAAATCGCATTACTTTTTCGTTTTACAGTGATTTCGCTGGAACAAATTAATGTCGTAATGCAAGGCACCACTGTACTTCTTAATTTACAGCAATTAGCTTCTAAAAGGACCTGCGTAACTGTGCAACAAGATTTCAGTCAATGAATGATCTTGGTGGCAGCCTGCCTAGCTGCCTGAGCGTCATTAAAACCCAGAGAAAGAGATCATAGAAGGGTGAGCAGAGAAGAAAGTTACAGACTGATAAAAAGCCTCAGCCACCTCACAGTTTTCTATTGATTCCAAAAATATGAGACCAAAGTCTAAAGGGCTTGAGAACGAGGCAGAAAAACTGAAGTTTGTTACTTGGGGAAACAGAACTGTAGGAAATTGGAGAGAGGTGCGGAATTATGGCACAGAACTAGCCTAATAAAGAACTATCTTCTCTTACCTCTGCTGAGGGATGCCAGGGAAAATGCTGTATTATAAGCATCTTCAGTAGAGACAAAATGGCCAAAATTCTGTTGCATAAATTGTGCTTGCTAAAAAATTATGACATCACCAGTAGGAGATTTTTTTTTTTTAACATGACTTCCTTCTTTTGTCCTGTGGCTTTTTCAGCTCATGAGTTACTTATTTCATGGTATGGAAGCCACAGGATGGGAGGAACAGGTCTCCAATTACCCAAAATCTCTTTCTGCTGGTAAAATCCAACAGTGGTTGTAACCTGCAGTTATTAAAGACCTCCTCCTTCCATCTGGCAGCTTCCATACCATAAACTGGACTACTTGAGAGTCAAACAAGCCATGGAACAGAAGAGGAAATCGTTAATTATCAAAAAAATTCCCACCAGTGATGCCATCATTGTTCCTCAAATGTTAAGTTATACAACAGCCTTACAGTCAACGGATCTATAGCCAACCAAGAGAAGAAACAGAAAAACCCACCCCATTTACAAGACCTGAGAAAGGTACTGCTGCGCCCTGAACAATGTCTGAAGGTGCTGAGCTAAAATCTCTCAGAAGGTATTTATCTGAAAAATATTCTGAGAAGTTTTCTTCTTCTTCCTCCCTAAAAATCGAAGGCTACTTTTTCGGAATGGCTTCCAAACTGTCTGCACCATTTTTGGCGGCCCACCACACCATCCCTACCACAAAGCCCTAGAACAAGTCGCAGTAAAAGGCACTGTGAAGAAAGCAGAACGGCCAGGCTGCCCAACTCAGTGGCAGTGCCTGTGAAAAATTAAGAAATCCTTTGATGAAAAACAAGACATCTTTGTTGTAACCATACACTGAACCTCAGCTCAGGCAAACTGCTGGAGAATTCCTCCTTCTCCTGTTGAAATGACACCCCTTGCCTACAGGGTGGAGAATTTGGGGGAGGCCATTTGGGCGCAATGACAAAACCCAGTCCACGGACTACTGCTTGTTATCCTGCCTTTAGCATGAAAAAACGTTCTTTCTAATTCCCTTTGTGTCACGGCTTGCTTGTGATGATAAACACTGAAATAATGATGCCGGAGTGCCCTCTACTGATCCTGTTCATTGCCTACACGATTCCGAACCTTCTTTCTTTCGTTTTCCCACAAGACATTTCAACCACAGAAATGAACACTTTAAAACACCGGAGCCAGAGAGCCTCTCACCTCTCTGGACCTCTAAGACAGCACGTTCTCCGACACTGAGAGAGCCACAGCAATACTATAATGTCAACAAATAAATAAATTTGTGACCTTGCCTTAGTGAAACACTTGATGATTTCTACTGAACATGGTGGTGGTCAACAATGCCCCTTAGAGTGCTTCTCCATGATCAGAAGATCAGGATCAACTTCATTTTGGTCCTGGAGTGATTTCTGTAGGACCTGATGAAGTGCCTTCCATGTCATAAGAGATGTGGGAATCACCCTGTTACTAGGTCCTAGTTCCACTCCTGGGTGAACACCTCAGTACACCTCTCTAACGATCAGTCATTTGCTGCTGTGGCAGCTTGCCAAAGGCCATGGACACCAACATAAATGGCCAACAGGATTCTGTCCGTGCTTGTCCTGTGCTTCGTTTAACTGGAATACACTAATTGCTTATTCCTTCAAAAGTCTTACTCTGCTGCCTCACTGTGGCATGGGCAGTTATTCCTGGGCTAGGCCAAAGAAACCCAAGTTCTGGCAGATTTTGCCAAGCTGTTAAAGCTTGGAGTACGATTCCACTGTCGGACTGTGTGTGTGTGTGTTTATTTATTTATTTGATTTATACCCTGCCCATCTAGACTGGGCGGCTAACAATAAAAAATGGAACGACACAAAGGGCATTAGAAAGAAGTGTAGCCAGTCTCCAAGGTTCACCAAGGAGCAGCCCACTAGTTTAACTATACAGTGGTGACTCGCTTAACGATGATAATCCGTTCCAGGAAAATCACCGTTAAGCAAAAACATCGTAAAGCGAAATTAAAACCCCCATTGAAACGCACTGAAACCCTTCAACGTGTTCTAATGAGGTAAAAACTCACCGTCCAGCAAAGATCATCCATACGGCAGCCATTTTCACTGCCTGTATAGCGAGGAATCCGTCCCTAAGCACAGCGGGGAGCCATTTTAAGCACCCGGCGGCCATTTTGAAAACCCAACGATCAGCTGTTTTTGATCGTCGTAAAGCGAAAATTGGTTCCCGAAGCAGGGAACCGATCATCACTAAGCGAAATTCCCCCATTTAGACGATCATTTTGCGATCGCAAAAAGATTGTCGTAAAGCAGATTCGTCGTAATGTGGGGCAATCGTTAAGCAGGGCACGACTGTATAGTTTGACTATCTAGTGTGTGCGTGTGCATGCGTGTGTGCGTGCTTCTTCTGATGTTTGCCGTTTCAAATCCTATGAAAGAACTTGGAGAGCCATGAATGTATAACTGAAATAGTTTGACCGTGCACGACTAATCCTAATTACAAAGTCCTGGATTGAGCACTTTATATAGATAAAATGAAATGCTCAGTCCAGAACTTTGTAATTAGGATTAGTTGTGCACAGTCAAACTATTTCAGTTATTTGACCATGTCAGTGTTTGGGTGACTCAAAAAATATTTCGCTGGATTAACATGCCATTCCTACCGAGTGGAATGCCTTAATTCATAGAAAGGGATGGACACGTATGGCCAGAAGCCTCTGGAATCTGCCCACAACGGCCCCATCATTAGCTGTACAATATCATGAAGAGATTGACAAGGTTTTCTATTCGTATCCTTTGTGATTTCTCCTCTCACCACTCCACTTTAGCCATCAAGAGTTAAATAATTTGATTACCATAAACTGAATGATGTCCTCAGGTTTGTGTTTTGCTGATTTGAAGGCAGCCAGCTGAGCGACAACGACAATGTTGTATTCGGCATGGCCAGACAGCATTTTCCCCCGGATCAGTTGGAACGCTGGAACCGAGAGGTCTACCCCAGTGTGAGTATTCTCAAGAGGCCTGCAAAGGTTAACAACTGAGAGGTCAATAAAAGACAGGCTATGTTTCGGTGACAATAGACTTCCAATACTGAGACCAGTTAAAGGCACAGGAGCCCCACAAAAATGTGGCGAAGGAAGTGGGTTGATGGGTTCCCCAATGTTGCTTAGGCTGCAGTTTGTGTCTGCTCTGCATGAAAGCAAAGAATCCAGGGTAACCCAACGTTTGTTCCCAATTTCTCAAATAGCTGTGAAAGGAGTGATTTAAAGTGAGAAATTAATTTTGAGAGGGAGGCAGGTATGGCCCATCGCATTATCTGCACAATGAGCAAGTAATTTGTGTATTATGCAAAGGTGGCTTGCTTTAACTGGGCAAACTAGAATATGGTGACCCAGAGAGACAGAGAGAGAAGGAAACCTTTTGTGATTGGGATAAAGGAAGGATATAAACGCAACTAGAGTAACAATCACTAAATAACAAGAGACAAAAGGAAAGCAAAACCTCTAATGCAGTGGTTCCTGTTCTTTAGTCTTCCAGAGGGTTGCATGCCAACTCCCAGCATCCTTGTTGGCTGGAATGCCTAGGGTTTGAGATCCAAAACATCTGGAGAGCCAGATGGAGAACCATTGCTCTAATGCAGGGCTTACCAACCTTGGGTAACCCAGGTGTTCTTGGAATACATTTCCCAGAAGCCCTGGGGCAGCACAGCTGGTGGTGAAGGCTTCTGGGAATTGCAGTTCAAGAACACCTGGATTACCCAAGGTTGGAAACCACTGTTGTAAGGTGTCCTTTGGGACACCACCCCTCCTGCACCGCCATTCTATAAACTACCAATGTTAAAACTGTTCTCTTGGTCATGAATGATAATGGCTTTATAAATGATACCTTCAAGGTGTGCTTCTGGGAGAGAAGCTCCTGCAATCTCATAGGCTGGGAAGGAAGTGAAGAGGGAGGGGGAAAAAGAAAAGAAGCCACCCTCTGGATTGGGTTAGGATTAAGTGGTTTCTAAACTCAACAAGTTACTGATAAGAAATAACTGAGGTGCAAAGCTGCTGGATAGCTCAGCCAGGAGTGGGATCAGATGGAGATTTTGTCCCACAATTTGGTCCGGGTGGGGATGGGCTGGTTCCACCCTTTTCTCAGTGACCACATGATGCATGTCCCATCGCAAACCAGCCTGTCCATGACTGATGCCTCCCTGCCCCATTTTTGGGCCCCTGTTACTGTTTTCTGGTGCTAATTGGATCACCTCATTGATTCCGTCCCAGTGTGTGTAAAATTGCTGAGTGGCTTAAGTTGTCCCTTTGCTTAAGTCACTGAACAATCTTAAGAAAAGGAACATTTCCTTCCTGCTTGCCTGTGGAAGGGAAGGGAAAGGACATTTTCCATTTCTTTTTTAATTGTTGCTAATACATCAGTGATGTTTTCAAAAGACCTGTTTAAAGAGGGCTTTCAATGCATTGATGGGCTTTGCCGGTTGGCTACAAGGGAAAGGAAGGGCACCCATCCTCTCCCTTCCTCTCTGTAGGCAAGCAGGAGGGAAAATTTCCTTTTCTTAAGATTGTTATGGCTTCCCATTGCTCAAGATGGTTGAGTGACTTAAGCAAAGCACAGAGGACAAGACAGGAGGAGGATTTCTTTCCTTTTAAAGAAGAACAGCTTAAATCATGCTGAACAAGGCTTCCTGAGGTACAATGTGGTTGACATACCGCACCTCAGAATGACCCGGTTGAGCACCATCATTCTAATCTAGACCAACCCAGGTTGTTTAGTTGCATCTTCGGTAAGGCATCTGGTTAAGTACGGTATTTTAAAACTGGGAATTGTTGTATAGTTTTAGCTGTTGTGAGCCACCTTGGGTCTCCTGTGGGGAAGAAAAGTAACAGAGAGAGAGAGAGAGAGAGAGAGAGAGAGAAATACCCAGAGCGCGCGCACACGCACACGCACACGCGCACACGCACACACACGCGCACGCACACGCACACACACACACACACACACAGAGAAAGGAGATAATGGTAATCCATTTCTGAGTTCTGTATACCTAGAAAATGGCTACCGTACGTCAGAGTCATCTAGCAGAGATTTCTCACTACATCGCAGAGAGGAAACAATTTTTTCTCACAGGCAAGTTTCGGAATTCTCTTCTCCTTATTCTTCTAAAAAATATTCTAGAGAAAGCCCATGAGCCAAATAGAGGGATTCAGATATTCAGCAAGAACAGCTCATCTCTCATACCACAAAATACAACAGTCATAGCAACAATGTACAGTGGTGCCTCGCTTAACAAGCGCACCATAGAATGATGAATCAACATAGCGAGGACGTTCTAGCAATCGCAAATGCGATCGCATACCGATGGCCCCTATGGCCGAAAATCGCTTTGCGAAGATCAGTAAGCGTTTCGCTTACCGATCTTCGCAAAACGAAGCCGCGGATCAGCTGTTCGGCGGCTCCAAAATGGCCGCCGGAAGCCCCCAAATGGCCGCGTGCAGCGTTTTCGCGCCCTCCCCTCGCTTACCGAGGGCGCGAAAATGGCTGCCGGCTATAGGAAAACTTTGCTGAACTGTGAGTTTTGGAGCCTATGGCTCCAATGGCTTTCCCCGCCCCGTTCAACGATGTTTTCACATAGCAAGGGTTAATCCGGAATGGATTAACCTCGTTATGTGAGGCACCATTGCATATTCTTTTCCTGTTAACCCTGCTTCCCCCTTCTTCTGTTGTTTCCCTACCTCATGACAGATTGTAAGCTCCTCGGGTATTGCAGGCCTTTTCTCCTGCAGTTCATATTATAAGGAACCATGAATCTTGACGGTGCTATACACTATTAATAATTACTGCAATTACCATAAGGAGGCCAGGCCAGGTGGCTGCATGGTCAGCATATAATTTCCTGCTCTTATTTACCAGTTGCATAGACTTAACTGAGAATGCAAGCCTATGCGTACGGTATCCCCTCAAAAGTAAATCCCACTGTGTTCACCAGACTCTACTCCCAATTAAACACGCATAAATAGATGCCATACAGTGACAAACTGACTGGACGTCCTCCTACACCCTTTCCCGCCATCAACTCCAATTGAAATGAGCCCTCCTCAGCCATGGCTACCACTACCATGAAAATCAGGGTCCCTCAGCTTCACTTCAGAAGGAACTCCAGCGTGGTTTAAGACTTGTGTGCGAAACAGAGCACCAGGAGATGACTCCTTCCCTGATGTGCAGATACAATAGCTCAGTGGCTGAGGAGGCATAGGCTGGGAGTTCGAGTCCCGACTGCGCCTCCTTGACAGGGGCTGGACTTGATGATCCCATAGGGTCCCTTTCCAGCGCTGCCGTTCTAGGAGTCAATGGGATGAGAGTTTCAGCTGCTTAATTCACTTCTCTTGGCCAAGCACCTGGTAAAGGCAGAGAGGGGAGGCCTGAGGAAAACTCGACCCACCAACTGGTTTCCAGTTTAACAAGAGCGGCTGAGATCTTGATTAGCTCACTAAAAAAAATCAAAATAAAAGAAAACCAAATTTTAAAAAGGCTAGCTTTTGACCCATGCGTGTCTTCACCAGGCCGGGTACTGATAGGTTCTGGAGAGAGCAGGGGAAAAAATACAAACGTTTCAGAAGTTCTTTTTTTCTAGTTCGTTTTTCACAAGACAACTGGGAGGAGGAAAAAGTGAAAGGGGGTAATTAAGGAGAGGCCAGAGAGGCCCTGAGGGACAAATCTGATGGGGTGCCGTAGTTTAGTAGGAAAAACAAGACGATGCCTCCTAAGAGACCTCTAAAATTACCTTCCTATTGCTGTTTTTATTTGTTTATCATTATTTATTTAAAATATTTCTATGCCGCCTTTCCCCCCAAAAGGACTCTAGGTGGCTTACATTACTAAAACAGTATCTAAATATACAAAGATTTTAAAAAAAGAATTAAATATGTACTATATTAAAATAGTAACTAAGATCAATATTAATACACATTGTTGTAAGCCGTCCAGAGACCTTTGGGTACAGTGGGCGGCGTATAAGTTAAATAAATAAGTAAATAAATTTAAAACAACAGAGCCCAACAGCCCAGTTATGTGCCCATCATGTCGCCTGGGGCTTTATGGCGACCCTTTGAATGAGCTCCAAAACCGGCCCGTCCTCAACAGCCCCGTTGCAAACTCAATCCTGTGGCTTCTTGTAAGCCGTCCAGAGACCTTTGGGTACAGTGGGCGGCGTATAAGTTAAATAAATAAGTAAATAAATTTAAAACAACAGAGCCCAACAGCCCAGTTATGTGCCCATCATGTCGCCTGGGGCTTTATGGCGACCCTTTGAATGAGCTCCAAAACCGGCCCGTCCTCAACAGCCCCGTTGCAAACTCAATCCTGTGGCTTCTTTGCAGGACTTGCTCCATCTCCTAGTGGGCCTTCCTCTTCTCCTGCGGCCGCCTCCCCACCCCCTTCCTTTCCCCCCAGCCCGGGGGCCTTTCGCAGCGCGCCCTCTGGTGGCAGAAACATCTCTCTGGGCGATGGAAAAGATCGGAGGCCAAGAAAAACAAGAGGGGGGGGAAAGAGGGGATCCCTTTGCGAGATTGGGGGTGTCGGGGTGCAGGCGAGTCTTTTCGGGGGACCCGGGGCCAGAAACAATACGAGCACACGCTCACCCTTGGGAGAAGGAGGCGGAGGCGGGGAGCCCCAGGGAGATCTTGATCCGGGCCCGATCCTTACAAAGGAGGCTCTCTCTCTCTCTCCTCCCCCCCGGTCAGGTCTTCCCCAGCAAAGGGGGGGGCGCACCCGGACTCCTTCCCTTCCCTTCCCTTCCCCCTCCTGCCCCCCCCCCGCGCCTTACCGAGAGGTGACCAGCACGGCTGGCCCGGCGCCCCGCTCCATGGCCCGAGCTGCCCTCCCGCTTGCAAAACCGGACCACGGCGCCCTCCCGTCCCCGGCCAGCCCCGCTTGAGGCGCGGCGAGGGACGGCGATCTGGGATCTGGCGTCACCAGATCCCTCCCGGGGTGTTTCCTTTCCCCGAAATGCTGGGCTTGGCAAAAGGGTGACGCCCGTCGTGCCGGCTGCTTTGGAGGCCTTTGGCCTAGAGATAGCTACATACAGTATTTTTTTTCCTGTTTCTGTTGGGATTTGGCCAAAGTTTGGGGAAAAAGCGGGGAAGGGGTAGAAAAAGTGGTCCCTCGTAGTCGGCAGGATTCGAACCTGCGCGGGGAGACCCCAATGGATTTCTAGTCCATCGCCTTAACCACTCGGCCACGACTACTCCTAGTGGTGGAACGTTTCTCAGCACGCGTTTTTAAAGATTTGCTTCTCCAGCCTCACACCTGACATGTTGAGAGGCGGGGGAAAAAACAGACTGTGTGTGTCCCAAGAAAAATGAGGTCATCCATTGCATCTGTTTGTTTTAGAATACTCGACTTAATCACCTTAGATTTGAAACTAGGGCCTCTTCTTTTGCTATATAAAGAGTTTAGATTTGGGCAGCTTTTGCAGAACTGGATCTGACTGTTTTTTAAAATATATATATATTTAATCTGTCCTTGACATTTTATAATTTATATTTTATATTCGCATAGCTTTTTCAGAATTGGATCTGAATTTTTAAATTTAATATATGCTTCATATTTTATATGTTTATATTTATTTTATACTTTGTTATTGTCATTTATTAAACTCTGCCAAGTATTAATAAATACACCGCTTTTCTCCTTGAAAAAGGATCTGAGGCGGCTTACAACAATGAATAACAGTACAGTACTTAA